CAATTTGTCTGAGACTTATTATGATGAATCGGCATCCTGCGTCATATGTATGTATATGTATAGAAAATTTCTATATTTTTCCCTATTATCTTTTTCATCATGCTTTCAGCTCTTTTCCATCGTTGTCTTCGGCTGCATTTCATCGGAAGGTTGGCGCACCGACGAGAATGGCAAGGAAGTGTGTCTGTACAATGGTGATGGTATGGCGTGCAAATATGGCAATACAATTGGCGTATTCGGTTTTCTGGCGTCGATGGCCTTCATCGGTGGTGAGTACCTGTTTGAACGCATGTCATCGGTGAAGAGCCGGAAACGTTATGTGATGGCTGATATGGGATTTTCAGGTGAGTTGAATTGACTTCATTTGCACGAGTGTCTATAATACATACATATGCATGTATGTGCGTGATAAGAAAATTAATTAAAAGTAACTTCTACTATAATTTTTTTATTATACATATTTGTTTTAGCGTTCTGGGCTTTCATGTACTTCATTTCATTCGTGTATTTGTGGTCGCAGTGGTCCTCGTCGCCATTGCCACCAGGTGGCATCGGCGTTGGAAATATGCAGGCGGCTATTGTATTCTCATTTTTCTCGATTTTTGTGTGGGTAAGTGTATGATGACTGTTGTTTATTTTATAAAAAAAATTCGCGTCTTATTAAGTTTGATACATTTTATGACTTCCGCCAAAATATTTTGTGCAGCCTAAGGGCTATTCGGGAGATTGGCCGTGTTTAGCAGGCCTAAAATTGGCAAAATTCAGGGACCGTAACAGTTACAACTTTTATTAAAAAAATCACTCTTTAACAATTATTTTTTGACTTTTATTTAATTACTCTTTAAATAACCGTTATTTCTGACTTTTATTTTATAAATCGAAAATAACAATTATTTTTGATTTTTATTTAAATAATCTGCAAATAACAGTTATTTTTGATTTTTAAATTATATGTCTTAAATAACAGCTATCGAAGACTTTTATTTATAAAAGTCATAAATAAAAATCAGTCACTGATCTTTATTTTTTCAATCATACTTATAAAAGTCATTTGAATAAGTCGTAGTAAACTTTTGTTTTCCAACACCTTCTTAACTGCGAAAAATGTTAATGACTTTTATATGATTGATTTAAAAAATAAAAGTCGGTCACTGATTTATATTAACGACTTTTAAAAGTAAAACTCTTCAATAACTGTTATCTAAGCCATATAATATAAAAATCAAAAATAATTGTTATTTTGGATTTATAATATAAAAATCAAATATAATTGTTATTTTTTTAATTTGGCATAAAAATTGCAAATAAAAATTTATTTTCAAATTTGAGTTTTGGTGCAAAACGAAATCGATTGGTATGTTTCACTTAGTTGTAAGTTTTGCTAACAAATGATATTAGAGAGGCGAAAACGGCAACTTTAAGTCTAACTAGAAGCTTCTCAAAGGAGTCCACTATTCATATTTCTTCCAAAGTAGAGTATTAAGGTGTAATTTTAAATAGTAAACAAGGTAAGCAGGTCTTTGGTAAAATGTGGAGTCTGTCACCTAGAGGAAACATACTGAGCCCGGGCATACACTTTGTTAGAATCATTACTGAAGGCTTCAAAACTGATGCAGGGTTAGGATGTGGAGCCTCAGTATTTCAAGCCGATCTGCTCTGATTTATTCGTAAATAGTGTAGTTTTAAAACAGCTTAAAAGGGAACATGGAAACAGCAGTACAATAGACGGCATGCAGTCTGAGTGCTCATTTCTGCACGCCTTGTTTTCTGTTAGTTCCGTAAAAAAAAAAACACTGGATTGACGAATTTATAACTTATGTCTACTACGAAACACTTTTTTTCTATTTGGCATAACATAAGATACAGAAGCTCCTGTGTTTTATTTTTTGTGAGAACCTAGAGAGGTGATGTCTTTGCAAGAGTGCCACTAACACTAGTTGTATTGAAGTCCCCGACAATGATATTGCGAACGAAATTATCACAGCTGTATTTAAAAGAACCTAACCATTTCATAGGATTTGCTTCTTGACGAGGCAGATCCCAAGCTCAGAGCACAATCCATTGCCGGAGGAGGCAGAAATCAAATGATTTATAGTTTGGCCTACAGCCATTCGATCAGGGCCATCAGGGTGCGGACAGCCATCAGGTTACCGAATGAGCTTCTCAAAAGCTGGAGCATACATATACCCGCGGTTCATTGTTATTTATTCTTATGAATACATGCCCAATGATTAGAATCTCAGTGTACTTTGTCTGGTCCACAAGAAGGGATACCCTGATGTTCGCGTCAATTACTGCGGAATAAGGCATCTGAATATTGCGATGATATTTTGTGAAAGACTGAATCCGTCACCAAATAGATTTTCACAGTGTGACACATCCCGGAAGAGGCCATTGGACAAACCATCTTTCCGTCGATACTAAAGCCGCTTTTTATTTCACGAAGAAAAAATGCTTATACGACGCCAGATCTAAAACTAATACTCCTATGTAGAGTGACGCTGAGCACAACCATCTGCTCTGTCCAAATTTAGAGAACCACTCTGTGCCGAGGGTTGTGGGTTGGTTTCACGTTGAACGAGGACAAGATAAAGTATTCCACGCAACTTATAAAGAGTTTCAGCGTATTGGACACACGTCAATCTGTTGGCAGTTACAATTTTGAAGTAGCGAAAGACTTTGACTACCGCGGTTCCAGCATTAATATCAGCAATAAGTCAGCATGGAGATCAAGCGCAAGGCCTGCCAACAGGTGCTGATCATAAATCCCTGATCATGCCCGCCCTGTCGAACAAAGATGAAAAGGTTTTGAATGCTTTCGAGATAACTACTTTACTCAAGAAGAGGAAATGACAAACTGTACGACTATTTAAGCGACGCTTCGAAGTTCAGAGGAAATTGGCAAAGTTTTTCAGTTCCAGCCCAAATCGACAAATCATCGAAGCAGTTGATAGAAAACTGGTGATCAGACCTAAAACAGCAAACAAATTGGTGCAACATCGTGAGCAATTTTTCACTCATCTCTCTCTCTCTCTCTTATTGTTTCTATTTAAGGGTATGCAGAGCTTCACTGAGCTTAAAATCAAGCGCTTCTTTATTTTCGAGAATTGTATCAATGCTTACTACAACCGCTTATCGATTGAGATGTTGTTGGGAGTCAAGAACTGGGCCAAAACTAAAGAGTACGCTAGGGTAGTCGTTTGGCATGTGTCGCTTTCAGCACTTCTGAGTTAGCTACCAAGAACACATTGATCAAGAACACATTGATTACTAATAACAATGGTTCCTTAAGAAAAAGCTATCTGCTATGGAACCTCTTGCTGAACAAATTTCTGCTTCACTATACCTTTAAAGCTACTAAAATTTTTCAATACGCAGGTCATTTGATTATATAGGGAGTAATAGTCCGCCTAAACTGAACTAGCTCTGTTCTTGAAGCGCCACAAAATAGCTAGGTTTTCAACAAAGCAACATTTTTCGCAAGTTTTCTGGATTCCTGGCTTTAATATAAAGGAACGTCGAGGACCCAATAAAAATAAATAAGGGTAAGTTTCAAGTCCCTAAATATTACCGTTGATTTACTGGAATTTTTATTTTGCCGAGGGTGTTAAGCATTTGCCTCTACATAAAAATGTATTGTGTTGGTGCGTTATATGGAAGAAAATGCTCTACACCCTCGGCAAAAAAAAAAAATAAAAATAAAAAAATACAACGGTAATTTTTAGCGACTTGAAACTTCCACTTTATTGCACTAAAATTTTATTAAAATTCTGGATAAAAGATGTAAATTCTGATAGAATTTTTTTGAAACTTTATTAATATTTGCGAAATTTGTGTAAGCTTTGAGAATTTTACTCATTTGGTTTCTGCTATAGGCAGCTCGGCCAGCTGCTTCAAGCTATTCAAAGAGTCCGGATACAGTTCCAACGTCAGCACCTTTCAAATCGAGCGCTATATGTCATTCGATAGTGCGCAGGTTGCAGCGTACCGATGTGGTACCATTATACTGCCAGGAACATTGATTGGTGGTGGATTGCAATTGCGTCGAGGGGACACCTGCAGCATCAATGGTACCTTCTACCACGCTGGCTAAAGCATATGAGCAGGAGGCTGCGGGCACTCCAGCGCTTGCCGTAGCAGCAGCGCCTGCTATTGAAGTGGCCATCATGCTGGCCGCGCTGGCCGAAGCTGACTCCGATGAGTACGTACTCTTACTCTGGCTCGTTGTAGTCAACATTTTGTTGCTAAAACATTCAAAGATGAGCATACAATAACTTCTTACGGGTATACCAAGTAGGATGACTTCACCATTGCCTGCAGATTCTGTGTAAACGCTCTGCACTTCGATGAAGTGAAGGTCTATTGCTTTTGTGAGGCTAAGAAGATCATAAACCTAAAGTGCTGCAGCAATTTTTCCAGGCACCACTGTTCAAATATTTAGTTGCACGCAGCATTTCTTTTATTCTCTTTATTTCCATATTTCAACATGCCCACAGGCTCTTTGCGCCTTCCTCGCCTACAAACGTTTTCTCATCGGCGCCGGTGATGAGTTCACATCAGCCTTTGAAACAGATCCAGCGAACGTGGTGCATCAGCAGGCATACACCAGCTACTCCATGGATAATGACAACGATCAGTATAGTACGTCGCCGTTTAGTGGCCAACAACAACAACTAGGTATGGATCAATGAATTTCTTTAAATAAAACACAACGGTATAACGATTTTTTCTCTTTTCGGATAGGTATGGATCAGCAAGGCATGGAATATCAACAGCCCACCTATTAAATAGTATGAACGGCAAATGCATACATGCATATGTATGTATATCATCAGCAGTTTAGTAGGATATCAAAATATGAGCGATTGCGTTCGGCAATTGTTTGTCGACTAGGCTCTTACATAAGATCATAAAATTTGGCATTTTGCGGGTGAATTTTGAAATGCGATGTAAAAAAAACGTTAAAAACTTTAACCGAAAACTAAAACATGAACCGAATACACCGATAGCAAACATATATACACTTAAATACATACATATGTAGACAAATATACACATCTGATGAAGCAAAGAAATTAAAAATATGTACATTTATATAACAATTTGCGATGGCGCGTAGAAATGGTTGGAAAAAACTGTAAAATTGCCGTCACAATGACGCAAAGTAAATATTTAGTTAAAAGTAGAGTTGATTAAGAAAAGTAGTAGTTTGTTATTTTCGAAGCTTGATTTCTCTATGAGACATTACGCGCGAAAAATATACCTACATACATATGTACATACATAGGTAATTACTAGGGCTGGAACTTCTATCCGCATTTTTTGAATATCCGGATAGTCGAATATCTGAATAAAATATCCGAACAAAATGAAAAGATATTAACCAAATATCTGTGGATGGCAAAATTAGCGGTATAAACCGTTACCGGATAATCACGAATATCTGAACGGTTATCCGGATGCTTGAATACAGAAATAGTCTCAACCCCGGTAACTACGTACTGTTCCCAATAGCTCATTTTACCTATGATTTAGAGCGTTTTATAAAATATTTTATAAAAAAATTAATTAAATAAATAATAAATAAAATAGATATGTAGGTACATAAGTGCAAAAGTTTGTAATTGTAATTGCGTGCGATTTTTAAGTGAATTTTATGTCGCACTTAAAAAGTAAATTGCTGTGCATAATTTATGTGTAGCGCGTAATTATTATTGCTTTGTATGCAAAAACAAAAAAAAAATGTAAAATGCTTGGCTTCAACTTAAGAAATGAATGCTCATTTAAGCGAACACTAACGAATATATCCAACTGCCCATGTCGAAATTCTAAGCGCATCAGAAATTGACAAGTTTTAACAATTAATTTCATTCACATTTAATTTTAGAGATTTTTTTTTTATAAAAATATAGTTTATTCTTTAACGATCGTTTCAAACTTTGTGCAATGTGTAAAAATAAATTCAATCAACTTTAGAAAATTTTAATTAGATTACTTAGAACAATCTTGGGTACAGAGTTTTGCAGCCCATTCAATTTTAGTAGTGCGATTCATGAGAATGTTGCAAACATGTAGCAAATGTCGCATTTATTGCAAAATTTTGACACCTTGCGACACTGCTGATAACTTTTATTTATGAAAAGTTTCTTGCGAAACTACCATATTATTTGAGCTGGCAATCATTCCAAAGTCAAAGTCGCGAACAGTGCGACCAGGTTAGCCTTTTTGAGCTAGATGTAGTAATTATATTTTTTGCTCTAGTGCCGGAATTTTAGGTTCAGCTTCGTGGTTTTTTTAATGCTACCTTTTCTATAAGTAATTTTCAGTAGTACTTTGAGAAAAAAAAGATCGATTTTATAGAAATGTTGAAAAATTATGCGGTGTACTTTCCAATTATCCTTATCATTTATTTTCTACCTGGAAATGTTTGACTATGGTACTAATCTTTGGAAATTCGAGCCGCCAAAAGATGAAACATTATTTTTCTTACAGTAAAACATAGGCAATCATGTCTGTCATAAAGTCAGACGGCAAAATGAGGAGCTCTTATTGATCAACACTTTTAGACAGGGCTTTTTAGGTAATATCTACCTTACTTTTGGAAGCTATATTAGAAGACCTTCCAATAGCTCTGTTATACTGAAGCAGACGAGAAGGTTTTTTTTTTAAAGAAACTGATTTGAAATCAAGGAAGAATTGGAGCATCCGTATCGCGGTGTGTATGGAGCAAAGTTAAATTGGTACTGCATCGAGCACCAAAGTTTTGAGCGAAAAAATTTAAAAACTAATTTAACGAGTACCGTTTACTTGAATTTGTAGAGCTGCTGTTAGTGCTGACCTTTTTAGTTTATTTTTCACTGCCTCTAAATTTTTAAAACCTTTTTTACGTAAATTTAGCTTATATATGTTTTTTACTGACCTCGAATACCTCAAAATAAAAGTATATCAGTTAAGGCTGCTTCGAGATATAATTGCAATAGTATAATAAAGTACAAGTTTGAAGTAGCTAAGACTTACCGTTAATTATCGGCAATTTTTTTGTTGATGGTGTAGATTATTTTCTTCCACATAAAAAAAAAAAAAATCGTCGAACATACTCTGTATAGAAGAAAATACACTACACCGTCAGCAAAAAACACAAGAAATCAACGGTAAATTCCAGCTAAAAATACTTCACCCTTCCATTTTATTATATAAAACTGCATACCCAAAGTCTTTCTTAGAAACCGAATTAAAAAGCTTAAAAATTTTAACAAAGTTTATTGACTTTGATAGGATTTTTGTTAAAGAATACTTTGCATTTTTATAAAAAAATAGCTAAAACTAAATAATAAAAAAAAAAATAGATTTTTAAAACTTGTCAATATGTGGTGTACATATAATTTTGACACGGTTTGTAGTTCATAATAATTTTAATTATAATAATAATTGATTGGCGCTTATACATATGTTAGTGTTTCGCCAAGCTTCTCCTGCAATTTGTGGCATGCGCCTTGGTGTTGTCACAGAATGCGGAGGGACCTATGTACGCCGATCGGCGATTGTATTTTTTTGAGAACCTGTTTTTCATGGCAGAAATACACTCGGAGGTTTGCCATTGCCTGCCGAGAGGCGATCGCTGTTAAGAAAGAACCTTTTTTCCACAGCGCTTTGTGGTTCATACATACATATAAATGAAATAAATCACAAACCATATAAGATTGTAGTTTTTAGTGAAGAAATACTTGTTAACAAAAGCTAAAGATATGTATGTATGTAGTAGCAAAAGAACACTTATTAAATGCAATCACTTACATACATACCCTACATACATACATACATACATACAGGCACATATTTTTGCAATGATCAAATATATGTATGCTCAAATAGCTGATTGTTTAGACTTTGGAAATAAACAGGATAAACAAAGCGAAAATGAAATATGTAACAAAATCCCACAAAAGGTTTGTAAATTAACTGATGAAACATTCACAAAAAAAAAAAACGATAAGAATTTATGCAAAGAACAGTACCAATATTATGAATACATACATATAAATATCCTATACATATGTGAAACTCTTTATGTCACACCATACATGTTTCTAAATCATACATACTACATTTTAGGGTAGTTCTTAAAAAAATCAACATCATGGCGCACGTCTTTATTTTGTCCTACGTACAAAGTAAAAACATCAGCGAAATTTCAAAATAAAATAAATAGCAAAATTTCGAAAAAATTTTGACTTTGACCAACTTTTGATTGGTTTTCATTAGGTCAAAATCACTGACATCAAAAACTGCCTTCGTCTGACTGCTATTCGTTTGGTGTCAAAAGCCTTTTCACTACATCAGAAAAACTGGCCAAATGTCGATATCGCAGTGTATGTCAAAAACGGTCGTCAAATTTTAATGTCGGGTGATTGACATTCCGTTTTCATTACTGATGCAAAATGTGAAGTTAAATTTTTGTTAAATAAGTCGGAAATACAGACTGTTTAGTTGTGGACAGCCCAAAAATGTAACTCTTTAGAACTCCTCATGCTGATTTCAATCTTACCAAAATTATTTGGCGCAAGTAAAAAATATAAAAATTTTAATATCTTATGAACTACATAATGGACTAAACAGCTAATGTACATAATTTATTTACTTTTTTTTTATACTTTTAAGCCAAAAATACCTTCTTTGAAGAAAATTGCATAATTAATGCTACAGAAATTTGTATTATTTAGAAAATGAAAGAACAGTTTTTTATAAGGCAAAATTTAACGAAAGTATTGGTAAAAAAATTTGTTTTAAAAATGGTTATAGTATATAAAAACGGCATTTAAATTACCTTTGCATTGGCATCAATAATTTTTTAATCGGTCAATTAGTTTCCGAGATATTATATACTACATATATATTAAAAAAATATTAAATTCAATTATTGGTAAATATCAAAACCATCAGCTCACGTTCGCGTGAGCAAAAAATTAGCAAATTAAGGGAAATCGGGAGACCAAAGTGGCATTTCATTTTCAGCTGAAGTTGCCAGAGTCAGCTGGAAAAATGTTTGCCAGCAAGACAATAGCTGGGCGGAATTTACACAAATCACAAAATCGTTTTTGCTGGTTCGGAAGTTGATGAAATAAGCCAAATTAAGCTTGCAAGAAGTAAGTAGTTATTCGTTCCGTCAGTAAACTATGTCAAGATAATACTTTTGGACAGTTTTCTTACGTTTTCAATTTTACAAAAAATTCTAACAGCTGTTCGTCTAGGTTGAAAGTTTCCGAAAATTTTCTGTTGCGAGATGGCAGATGACATTTCGTTGGAGTTTTGAGGCTGTATATTTTTTACAGGATAATTTAAACGAGCGTACCTAGGACATATGTCTAATTTATCGGACTTCAAGTCAAAAATTTGTGGAATTTGTGTGATTTTAAAAAACTTTATTAATTTATTCTAACGCTGGTGGGAGTCTTTATTTTGTACAAAGAGAAAAATAACGGGGTAAACTATACAAAATTTATATGTTGATATTTTAAGGACCACCCTAATACATGTGTATGTATAAGTACCTAGTCATTTGAACGTATGTAAATATTTGTGAATGCACAATAACGTTCAAGATTGCATGCTATTAAGAAAGAAATAAAAAAAAATCATAAAAACTTCATTATTCTACTCAATAAATTTTTTTTAAAGATATCTTTAAGCAATAAGGTCAAAAAAAAAGATTTAAACTTGAATTGACAGTTTTAATTTTCAAAAACTTGTTTAACCTTTGGTCGGTCGATAAATTTGTATGCCGTCAAGGCCACCAAAGGCCTTCCATGTTAATATGGTCTGTTAAGCTAATACATAATTTTATTTCTTTTATCTCATACATCTTTGCCCGAATCGGTCCATTAGCATTAAAATTGGTTGATCCGCCGCGTTGACATTAAATTGCCTCTTAGTCTTCATCATTGCTTTTCTACGTATTTTTTCCCCGATTTCGAAATATTCGCCAAAGACTTACTCGAATGGCAATTAAAAATCTTTGCTTTTATTTGTTATAAATGACATTTATTTTGAAGCCAATTTTGAGCGCTATCTATCAAAGATTTTCTTATAAATAAACTCTATCCCGTAATTTTAAACAAAAACTGTTCTAGGAGATATCGTATTTCCCAGGTATGGTAAACTGAGAGTTAATTGAAAGAATGACTAGTCTTCTCTGAAGTAGGCTTATATAAATTTTAGTTGTTTCATATACATACATATGTTTAGTGTGTAATAACCAGCCTTATTTGTTTTGTACATTCATTTACATTTACATTCATACAAACCCGTACGTATATAAAGACAGACTATATTTATAGAAAGTCCTAATATTATTTATTTTGCTTTTAAATATTTTTTTACAAACGTTTTTATTTCTAAGCTGTTGAAAATATTTGCTTAATAATAGCAGTTTCATTGTAGAAAAAATATATATACATACATATTTACATATATAGATATGTAAGTTATGACAAAAATGTAGATTCATGTATTTAATTGTAGTAGATGTGCGTTCTATTGGTAAATTTAGACTAAATAAATAAAAGTAATGTATTAGTGCGAAAAAAGTACAGCCAATCCTAAGCAAAAGCTAACAAAATAAAACAAAATAAAAATATAAATATAAAACATGTAAACAGCCGTAAGGAAAACTGATAAACATAAATAACTGGCAACAATAAAAAAATCAAATACACCCACATTTACATACAAACTATAAAAATAAAATTATTAAAATGTTTTCGCTGAATGGCAAGTACTCATGCATACATTTACATATAAATACCTAAGTATTGTAATTTTGTTCAGTTGATAAATAATATTATTGCATATATAAGATTAAAGAATATACATACATATACATAAAAAAATTAATCAATAGCTTGGAATTGCTTATTTCGCCATTTAGGTTGGGCTGGGTTATGTCAGCTTGGCTGATCCTTGAGGTTGCTAAGAAAGGGCAGGCCCACGCTTAAACCGTAAACCCGATGCACTTGTTAGTGAGTTTTAACAACTTTCTAGTCTTTTGGTCTGCTTTTATTCTTCTGTGAGGATAAAGTATATAGAGTCGCGAAAGTTGAGTGCCAAAAGTTGAACAGTGACACAGGTAATGTGCCAATTTGCCTCTTTGTAGGTTCTCTCGAATCCACGTCGCTGAACACTACATAGTATAGAACAGGCAGCCAACTATCACTGCTACACTTTACTAGGGAAAGTTGGGTGAAGAGAAAGTGGTATCATCTCGTAATGTGGAATTTCTTAGGGCTCAGATACCTCTAACTCAAATTCTAGATTTGATATCAGTTCAATTATTCAAAATAGAGCTGGCGAATAAGGCATTAAGAAATACGTCCTCCTGCGTCCACTAATTTCGTACACATCCGACTAAAAACCACCTGCGAGCATTGGAGCCGGCATCGTTGGTACAAGATCAAACAAGGTCTTCCTTCTATGGGTCCCGAGTCACTAAGCGATAAATGAAAATGAAGATATAGACAGGCTTGCTAGGATGGCGGCAGCAACAACACCAATAGGTCCCGAGCTTTTCTTTGCAATAGCAGCACACACCATCAGAGAATAGCTTAGGAGAGAATTAAGAACAAGTAGAGAACGAGTCACTAGACAGCGCCAGGCAAAGGAGATATTGGAAGGATTCAACAAAAAAAAAAAAAAAAAATATGATAACCTCACTAAGCTCCCAAAGAACAAATTAAGAACGAACGAAAAATGATACTAAAGATGGCACAACGCCGAAACCGGTTTTTCTCCAAACCAAATTTGACAAGGGATGACGAAAATTCGTTCCAAAATACAACAATTTAAGAATTGTAATAGGTATATTAACAGTTCATTTCAGATTAAGAAGTCAGCTAAACAAACTCGGGATCTGGTCCACCGATTCATGTCGTTTCTGTGATAGGACAGCTGAAGCTTCTGAGCACATATCTACTTCTCGAAAGTCATGCTGTGACGAGAAGACGATAAACGTTCTTAGGGTCACTAAACTCTTTGTCAAAAGCTCAGATTTGGAAGAATAGGTACATTAAAATATCGCTTGTTTTTTTTTCATAATCATATGTTTAAAATATCTTAACATTTCAAAATTCCTTTCATGCCTGAAAGTTGCAGTTCTTTTGTTGAAAATACAGTTTTTTTCTTGGGTTTTTTGAAAATAAAACCTGGCAACCTGCATGCACTCGACGTCACCAAACAACCCACTGAATTTCCTAAGGGAGTTAGGACGGTAAAGGACCTCCAAGTCGCAGTGGATTCTTCAACCGAATATCCATTTATCTATCTGTGCCTTCGTCATATGCCATGCATTTTTCACTCTGTGTTATTCCGAGCTAGTCTTTTATGATCCAGCGCCAATATTGTTGGTAGTTTTTGCCCTATAAGAGAAACGCATTATTCTTGCCAGGTATAGTGCGCTATGTAGGCCTTCTTTCCACGGTATTCGATATTGCTTTTCCTGTTCAGTTTGGTGTCTATCGTGACTTCCAAATACTTTGCACTATAAGATAGCTTGAGCATCTTACCATCAAGCGACGGCGCTTTGAACTGGTGTATTTTGTTCCTAACCATTTGTGAATAGCATAAGTTCGATCTTCTCTGGGTCTGCGCTTCACCCGCTCTTTGTAAGGTACCCAGCGACGCACTGCTAAATGGGGTCCGCCCAAAAAATGCATTGCGTAATTCATACAAATAATTGATTAAAATACCGCAGACCAATTTAAAATTGTAATGCGCATTGTAGGCAGTGTGCTGGGTATAACTGCACCAGTGATCTTTCGAGTATTTCGTTAGAGTTGAGAGGAAAGGACCCATAACTGCTAGCAAATCATCATAGGCGTACGCCACAAATTGGACGCCCCCTCTGTTGAGATTTTTTCAGTATGCCGTTCAAGGCTTTAACAATGGTGAGAGAACGGCTTCCTCCATTTGTAACGTGAACCACAACGGTACCACAATGATCGACTGTGGTCAGCTAAATAAACCCTCAGGGCCAGCTACTCAATATCTGGTCACCACCAATCTCCGCTTAAACATCGTTATCGACGTTACCGACTCCCTGTTATATGAATGGAGTCGAAGACATCGGAAAAGATGTTTTAGCGGAGATTAGAGTTAACCAGACATTGAGTATTCGGCCCTTAAACTCTTTAGCTAAAGTGAATTATGAGAAATGCCGGGTCTAGTTCACAGTAGTTGAAACCATTTGTTTTCTTTTTCCACATACATACATACATATGTATTTATGTATATATATGTACTTTTTACTCGTCACTACTTTGAGTATCCCTTCAATCAAACTTAATACATTTATGTACATTGTACAATTATTTCAGTGTACAGTTTCGTATAATTTGCGATATATATATATGAGGCATTCTTTTTCATATCGGACACCAAATTTTTTGACACACTTTCGACTCACTTCAATTTTTTTTTTATGGATTATATACAGGAAATAAGCTAACACGTACTCGGGGATTTTTTTTAACTTTTTTCTTCGGAGATATGATCTGTCAAACTTTGGATTTTTTCGTGATTCTGACTAATCATGTACTTTTTGAAATCGTTATATCTCGTGTTCTGCTCATTGTAGAGACTTCATCTTAACGTCGTTTTAAAGCTAAAGAAATGGGCTTAACCTTCTGTATATAAGATGGTCAAGATTGTCCTAAAGCTAACTTAGCTATTAACAGTTAACCTTTTTGAAGTTGATTTGCATAGTGAAGACCAGTAAATTAGGTGTTTAGAATTATACCATCGCAATCCTTGTTTAATTCTCTATAAAAAAAAAAATGGTTAAAAAAATTGGAAATTTTTTCAAGAGCTAGTTTAGAAATATTTTTTTATGGCGAGAAGGTTTATTTTGTAATTTTTTTCAATTAGTCAAAATCGCGAAAAAATCCAAACTGTGAAAGGTCGTATCTCCGAAGAAAAAAATGAAAAAAATTCCTCCAAAACGTGTTAGCTTATTTCTTGTCTAGAACTCATAGAAAAATTTGAAGCGAATCGGAGACATGATATATATTTTACAAAATCCATCCGACTTAGAATAGAATGGCTCATATATTAAATCGAACACTTTTCTCTCCACACTAGCTTATGGCAACTGGCCTTAAAGATCGCTAACGTTAACTGGTTTCCACCTCTGAATGCAACCTCTCGAAGTCTCCCTAATATCAAAACCATGAAAATATAGTAATTTTGGTTATCTGGAGCTAAGTATGCATTATTTGTACAATTTGCGCGTACATACAAGGGAAGATAAATTACAGATATTTTTTTGAATAGTGTTGATCCATAACCATGCTACCTTAAATACGATTAGGCCAATAACAAAAATAGAACCAAAAGGTGGAAGTTAGGTTGATGGCCTTACACATATGTATGTATGTCCATATGATAAGACCGCAACTTGCTGTTGCCAACCCACGTATTAACTGTGAGGAACTGCAAAGATCAGCTTCATTCTTAAGCACCCGCTTGCGTTTTATTGACACTTGTCTTCATGTTTGTTTTTTTTTTTTGTTTTGTCAAAATTATTAGCGTCTGATAACGCATTGAGCGTATAACAATAATTAAGCGCTAATGAGGGAAAAATCGCATTCATAGCTTTCTTCGCTATCAACCATTGGAACTCATTATCAAGTTGTCCATTTAAAGACCAATAATAGCAATTTGTAAAAAAATAAAAGAATTGATTGCTTTGAACGCTTATCTGAAAGGCGTCCATGGACCCCCACATGCACACAGCACACACAACTGTACAAGAAGAAAAAACGCAGCTTAGCTCCGCTCAACAAAGCTTAAGAGGTGAAGTATAAATCTCATCGTAGCAGCAAGGTATTTGAGTATTTCATAATTTGCCGTTTGCTGCACAACACTCGAAAATTCTTCTGAAGAATGCGCACCTTTTTAGACTCGACACATTTTAAGCTTTCACTGCTGCTGATGCTCTCAATGGCGGCGTGTGTTTTTAGCGCTTACGGTGTGATGGACGACTGTAGCGATGACAGTTGGCAGTTATATAAGGTATGTATGGTGGGGAAATTTAGCATTTTTTTATATTAGCTTTTTAAATTTACATTCTACCCAGCTCCAATTCCGAAAGCAATATCGTTCATCGGTGGAGGATGCGCGTCGTCGCGTGATTTTCTGCAATAATATACACATGATTTATGATCACAATGAACGTTATAAGAGAGGTGAAGTAACTTTCGAAATGGGCGTTAACCAGTTTGCCGATTTGACAAGTGATGAATTTCGTCGTTGGCTGCACGGTGGAAGTATCGGTGCTGAAGCTTTAGCTGGCAGAAGTATAAGTGCCACGAGTTTCATGAGAACTAGACGATTTTATTAGATGCAGATATTGATAGGATATATTATTTGTATTAATAGTTGTGTATTTATATTTACTTGTATTTGTTTAAAATCTTTATTATTTGGAGATTTTTATTCTACGTAAATACTTAAATATGTATGTAGAATTTGAAATTGTATTACAAATATTATCAAAACATATTTATTCTAATTTCCTCTTCATAATTTTAAAGAAGTTTTGTCATAAAATAATCTTTATAGTTTTCACAAAAATGATTGAGCGGTAAAAAGAATTGGCGACCATATAGCCAATTCGCAACTTACTATTTAAACTACTAGGGACCCTGGAATAGGTTAGGTTAGATCGTCAAGAGTCCAACTGCGAGCGGTAACTGCGGGGTTAAAGCAAGACGGGCGGATTCTTGTCACGGAGAGCTCCTTCGGACTAGTTGTAAAGTACGAACCCAAGTGCCTAAGCCGCAATCTATCAAAAGCTGGGCAGTTTAAGAGAAAGTGTTGAGATGATTCCAGCTACAACAAAAGGGGTCTGGTGTGATATTTAATTTCCCTGCGTGATAGGAATGCGGCCTGTCAGTACACCCCCACCAGAGATATCCGGCATCGCGAGCCTAAAGAGATCCCTAGACTACGATATCACTATGGCCTGGTACTCATACAAGTCCTGACAAGGTAATATACCTACGCGAAACATAGTGAGTCAAGTACCTTAAGTCTGGCTGCCGCACTTTCTCCAGTTGTTGAATTGCGATATCGACAGACTCTATGTTAAGCATGACGTTGAGGGTCAGGTTGAGAGTGGTCCTCAGTGGCCCACTGATTCCACTGGATAACGTAGCCCTCTCCAGTCTATTCTACCAGATGAGAGGCAGGAGAAAGGAGAAAGGTCTCTTACCTATGGCCCCTTTGCAACTGTATAACGCCACTGAGACCTTCCTTGCTCTCTCCTCGATATTAGGCTTCCACGACAGTTTCCCATATAGAATCAAGCCCAAGTTCCATTGTTTACACCAAGTATCCTCTGTGTGCGCCAGATTGAAAAATGAGAACTGGCCAAACATCGGCACGGGGCGTTATTTTGTCCCAGCCATATTACACGCCTCTGTGCGGCAAAACGTGAGCGTCCAGCACTGAAAGTAAAGCTCAACGTCGAAAAGTTGCAATCATACCTGACGGCCACCATATTGGTCGCTGAACTTTGACATATGATATGATATGATATCATATGATAATAAGAAGAAGATATGCAAACTCATACACAATTAAATACATACACTAAAAAAAATTTAACCAAAAATTGGTTAATATTACCAAATTCAAACTTGAAAAGGAATCAAGGGGATTTTTGGTTAATATTAACAATGCCTTGGTTGATATTTTCAACAATGATTAGAAAATATTAACCACACTTTGTTTACATTAACCAAACTTTTGGTTGTCGATTTTTTCATTTGAATACGCTTATGTTCTGCACTTCACAGATGCTTCTTCATAATTCGGAGATACAAAACAAAATTTTTTTATCATTTTAACACGTTGCCTCTGACGGAAAGACGCGGTGCTTCTGCAAGTTAGCACATAGCAGTAACGCCCTCTGTACGCTCAGCCCTTGCCGTTCTGCAAGGTTATCCCAAAATGTTGAAGTTGAATTAATTTTCTTTGTCGATTGAATTGGTTTTGCACTTCACAGATGCTCGCAATAAGGAAAGATAAAAAAAACAACAGAAAAAAATAATAATGATGTGATGTTGCCGCTGACGGCATTCGTATTCGATTCTGCCTGAAGCAAACAAATACCCGCATGCACCTCTACACGTTCAGCTACAGCCAGAATTTGTTTTCAAATGGTCAACTTGAATCGCATTTCTTACAATCGGTATACTGACCATGAAAAAACCAAACAATAACTTTGTTGGAGAAGTCATTGTTACTTTTGGCTCAGTGTATGTATGTATGCATCAACAGGAAAATATTTTTAGATAATTGCACTTTATTTAACATAAATAAAAAAATTATACGTAGTTTAAAAAACTAAAAACTCGCTACTTAACTTGAGAATTGAAATCGCTGCATCTTTTAGGCGCATCGTTATTACATACTTACTTTCCAAGCTAATAAAAGCGAGGTAATATAAATATTAATTGTGTCATAAAAACATTTACTTACAGCTTAAAGAAATATAAAAAGTTTGCTACAAATTATTTTAATATCAAGCAAGACATATAATACTCATCTCATTAACTCAAATTTGCATAATTTAAATAACTTTGTCTCCTACTCCCGTCTACAGTATCGGATAGCTGCACTCACTGGCGATGCCACAAAAACTATTCACATTTCGCAATAGTCGCATAAATCCGCCTTCACCCCAATTCTCCGAGTACGAATTTTTAATAATCCAATAGTCACGACCATTCTCAGTGCCATAACCCACAACCACCACTGAATGATTAACTTCGCCCTGATTGCATTCAGTATCATCATAAATGCCGCCCATGTATTGTTCGAAGGATATCGCCGCACCGTTGATGGAGCAAGCCAATGGACCCAGCGTCGCAATGACCTCCTTCATTTTCTCCTCATCGCCCGGCTTAATGCGCGCATAATCGCGTATCTGTACACCTTTACCTGTTTCATTGCGATGACATTGCGCATTCTCCATTTGTGTGTACGGGTAATTGTTTGCTATCGAAATGCCGTGATCGCGTATATATTCGAAACCATACTCCTGGAAACCACCATCACAGCCCGTATTGCCATATTCATCGGCGCAATCGATCAGATTCTGTTGCGAAAGTGGCACCAGTATGCCAGTGCGGCGAAAGAGATGACCCTCGAGCGCCGCCGCAGTGGCGAACGACCAACACGAACCGCAATCGAAACCTTGAAATCCGGGTGGTGTGACACCGCCTTTCTCGCGCCAATCAAATGATTCAGGTAAATTTTGCACATTCGCTTTGGCGGTAACGAAATTGGTGTGCTTGGAGGTGATTTCCCTGCGAATAAAAAGAAATTGGTAATATTTATAAAAACAAGGGGGAAAGAAAACAATTTTGAAATTCTGCGAAAAAACGTATCTACGTATGTTTATGCATTTGTATACATAGTACATTCATACATAAGCTCATATATGTATACTAATTCACTGTTGTTATTTGTAATACATTTTTGGGGAATTTCTTTAGTAAATTAGTTAATTAATGGACTTATAAAATGATGCAAACAATAAAAATAATTAACAAGAGTGAATCGAAATCAAAATGCCTATGTAGGTTACTCATTTAAACAGTTTATTGGTCTAAGGTGAGTGGGTAATTAAGGCCATAAAGCTTAACTACTTTGAATGGGAATTACTTAGGTATGAGTATAGTTTTGGATTAGTTTCTTATTTAATGATTCATACCAGTTTATACTGTGGTAAGTTGGAACAATAAATATAAATTTTTTCAACCAATTACCAATTGTCCAGGATGGAAATGACATAAAAAAATTCATATAAAAAGCCTAGAGTTGTATTATTTCCGTAAAAACACAATTTTAATTCCAACAATGCGTGTGAAACCGTCCTTGTCGGCGATCAGTAATTCCGCTATCATCGTGCAAACTTTGTCTGAATAATAACTTTATCGAACGGGCCTATGGAATATGGTCTGCAGAGTCCACGTATAGGGTAGCACGACACATCTGTCATAAATTAGATAAGATAAGACCTATTTAGCAGACTACTCCGACTTATTCAAACCCTTCAAGTCGTCTGCGTAACTGACAAAGGCTGTGGAAGAGTTATACGATTATATGGCTCTTATTTATGGGACCTGCGTGGGGACCGGGAAGGAGGGAGGCATTCATCTTGAAGGTTGGTAAGAGCCCTCATGCTTCCCCTAAGGACTTCAGGCCTATCAGTCTGTCTTTGTTTTTGATAAACACGCTCGAGAGACTGATTGACTTACATATACGAAACGGTATTCCTTGTGACTGTTACTCGAGAACTCAACATGCTTACTGCAACGGAAGGGCGTTCGACAACGCCTTACACACAATGGTGAAGTGTATAGAGGAAGCCTACACTCATAAATATTATGCAGTCTGGATCGCGGTTGTAAATGGTCTTCTAGAGAAACTGGGGAAATCGGGTTGTCTGATGATCGCCGCCGGCCATTATGTGGCATTTGTGATCAGTTGGCGATTTTAAGTTACTGGGTGGGCAGCTAACTGTGGCCTCGCAATCAGCCCCACCAAGACGGAACTGGTCTTGTTTACTAGGAAGTATAAGGTCCGAGATGTGGCTCTTCTCTCAATCAATGGTGTCTGCCTGCAGCTCTGCGACAGGGCCAAGTACTTAGTCATGCTCCTGGATAGGCAGCTATCGTGGAAGCCCAATACAAAGAAGCAACCGATGCCTGTTGCTTTATACTGCTGCAGATGAGCTATTGGTAAACGGTGGGGTATCTCGCCAAAAATAGTTCATAGGCTTTGTGAAACCATGGTAAAGCTTATCGTGTTTTACGGGGGCCTTGTCCCATGGTACTCACCAGTAGAGGTTACACTTGCTAAGCAACTGAAATGCGTACAGCGGATTGTCCGAATCGGCATAAGTTGGGCATTAAGAACGGCGCCGGTGTCACCAGCAATTTAAGTGGAAAATTATTTTTTTCTGTCAAT